GGAGAGACACAACAAAACAACCATAGTTACATTAAAAAAAATCTCTGATTTAGTAATAGGGAATTGTATTTAAGGACTTCAAACTTAAGGGGGACACATAGTCACAGGTCCACAGAAAGTATAAAGTTTTGTGAAGGCCACCATCCCACCAGAGAAGCAGCATTCAGACATACCTCTCTTACTATAGAATTACTACTATTCTAAGCTCTTTGTAACAGACCCAAAACACAGAGAAGAAAACAAACAAACCAGTAATGGGTGGAAAGGGGCATAAGGCCCTTACTTGGCGGTCGTACGGACTGTCCTGGTGGAATCCCAGGGGGTTGAGCCCCAGGAGCTGGTAGGGTTGGCTGGTTACCCAAGATGCCTTGCTTATGTAAACGTGACCTCCGCTTCTCTTCTAGTTCTTTTTGTATCTTGTAGATTTTCTCTGCCAATAAATGGTAATATTCATCCTGAAAGTTCAACAAAATTTAATATTATGGAGGGAAGAACCGATTTTTCTATGTTTTAACAAATTAATGAACTTTTAAAATCACATATTTACCAAGGGTTAAGTATTTATTACATACACTTGTATGTAATAAACCAAGGACCTAAATTCTTGCTGCTGTTTCAAGAGATAGGACGTACCAGAGGCATATTACATATTTCATTCTACAACTGAACCTCTCTTCAGTTATTCCTAATTGCCGCCAGCAGAGCAGCCATTTTCCAAGAGTCTAGTCCTCGGAGGGAATGTGATTTTACACACCTTGTTCACTACTCAGTGTCTACACGTAGTTTCTCTTGTCTTCCTATGGTAAGTCTCCCTGGTGAGTCTCCTTAAGATGAAGCATTTCCCCATTATGAGGCAGAAGACATGGTTAGATGGATTGATCATGCGCATGCTGTGGAGGCTGGAACATTATGTGGGCACCTACCCGGCTGTTAGCAGACTCATACATGTCCCCTTCCACCTTCTTTGCATAGGCTACCAGGTTCTCCATCCGACGATCCTTTAGCGCTGCTGGGTCAGGGGTCGGAAAGATGGCTTGGACACTGGAAGAATGAAACACAACATCAACCTCTCAAAGCAGGCATATGAAAATGAAAACTCAAGGATTAGCATCTTGCATTCCTGCATGGCAAAAACCACATAGAAAGTGTCCAAACCACAGTCATCTACCCTCTAGACAATGGACATGTATGGCTAATGTGGAGATGAAAAAAGCCACTCCTGTCAACCCACCAGACAGGCCCAATACACTGACCTTTTACTACTACCATGTTAAATGCTTCAACAATCACAAGAATGATAAAATTTCAAATTAAAAATTTTTAAACTATTACAAAATTTTTTTTTATTATCACTTTTTTGCTAGGTACTGTCAAGTCCACTCTTGACTCTTGGGAACCTCATATGTAACTGAACCAAGCCCTGCCCAGTGGAGTAGCCAGGACCACTGGTATGTTTAAGTCCACTGTTAAATAACTGTTGTTGATACCATCAACAACACACAGTGAGTGATACACTCCAACTCACAGTGACCCACGTGCAACACCCATGTAAACTCCTGCCAAGGCTCTGAGCCATCACAACCCTACAATGTCCAAGCTTGTTGTTGCATTCACTGTGTCAATCTATCTCATTGCAGGCCTTCCTCTCCTTCTCAGACCATCTATTTTCCATGCATAATGTCTTCTTCTAGGGACTGACCCTTCCTGGTAACGTGCCCAAATTATGTGAGAAGTGTTTCTCCATTTTTGCTTCTCTACTTGCAATTTCTCTAACAGATTTATTTGGTCTTCCAGCAGTCCATGGTATATTCAAAACCACCACAGTTAATGGCATAAATTCTTTTTAGGTCGATATAATTCAATGACCAACTTTAACAAGCATGTGAAGCAACTGAAAATACCATGGCTTAGATTAAGGGCATCTTAGTCTTTAAATTGACATCTTATCCGAAAACAACTGGAATAGCACATCAACAGAGAACTGTCAGAAGTGCAGGCTGGGTTTAGAAGAGGCTGTGTTACTAGGGATACAGTAGCTAATGTTAGATGGATCTTGGCTGAAAGCAGGAAGTACCAGAGGAATGTCTGTGTTGGGGTAATCAGGGTAGGTGTGTCAGAGACAGTGAGATTGGCACAGGATAGAGCAGGGTTTTTAGGGCTGTTGTAAATAGGGTCACTGAGTTGCAGGCAACTCAACATCACATAATAACAAAACAACATGCTTTTTAGCACTTTAAAGATACAAGGAGAATTTTTTATGGGAATCTAGCTGGCTGGCTCTACCTATAGACTGGCACCAGTGGGTAGTGGTACTGCCAAGGTACCTGTCCTTACCACACCCCAACTTTCTGACTTCTAAGGTCTTTACAGCAACATTCAAGGGTAGCAAAAGAAGGCAAGCATTTGTGTCAAGCCTCTCCTCATGCCCTCCACAATTCTGAGCAAAGGCCAAATGGCTGTACTGGGAATCCCTGCCCCTGTGACTTGTCTACAGCTAGACTGCTCTGCAGGACATGTCCATAACCCCAGGGACTAGGGCCTGTCCAGGCTGTCAGTGGTGGCCATGGCTATTAAATGACCATGTGACTCTTTTTACTGCAAGCCCAGTCCAAGCAGAAATGAAAGCAAACATCCAGGATGGCAAAATGGTTACATGACTTGGAGTCACCTAATGTTCATACTATCCAAGAAACATGAATACGTACAGTTTATGCACTAGATGGCTACGCAGGTCCTGAGTGACATGTTCATGGAAGCCTTTCCGGACACCAGTGCTGGAAGGCGGTGCTGCTGAAGGTATGGTGCTGAGGGTGCCAATGCTTCCAGAGTTGGACCCGTCATTCATCAGTGGGCTAAGGGAGAATCAAGGAAACGTCACGCACACCCCTACGGAAATGACTCACACAGGCTTCCTGCCAACCACACAAGACTGTCAAATAATTTAACTTAGGAGACCTCAATGAAACACATACAACATAATTCAAGCTATGTTTAATTTTTCATAGGTTCTATATTTTTAAAAAAATCTTTCTACCCAGAGCCCTGCTTACACTATTTTCCTGGCTTTTATGCTGAGAAAAGGATTGCCAAGACCTTGTCAATGCACATTTTTATGTCTTACTTGGTGGCCCCGAGGGATGATGGAAGAGCGGGCTCTGAAATCAGGTTTGGTGGCTGCTGGTCTGTTGTTATTCCTCCTGCTGGAATGTTCATTGGGTTCGTTCCTTTCGATAAAGAAGGAAGAGCAATCAATGAACTCGGTCACAACATATATCTCAAAGTTTTGGTCGAAGACAGACAACAAATTACCACACAGGAGACGTCTATGCCCTGAAGCCCTGGTCCAGCAATGGGGACAGACATGGAGTCAGTGGGGGATCCCCTGCTCATCTCATTCTGAGATCAAATGAAGGCACTTCTACAGCAGCTCACTGCCAGCACATAGCTCTATAGCTGAGGAAAAATCCAGAAATAACCCATATGCAGCTTCAATCTGGAAACATATATCACTACCCTAAACAATGAAGTTGATCGACCTTTGTGAACTTGCCCGTGTGAACACATCAAAAAAGAAAGTAAAAGATACTGAGAGGGTGAGGGTGAACTTAAAAGAACAATATGGTCACAGGCTTCATTTCATTTTACAGTAAAAAAAGTTGAGGGGTTAATGTTCTTGCCCCAAAAACTACCACAGTAAGGGGTGCCTAAAGATCTCAACCCGGTTTGGGACGCTAGCCCAGTCTCAGGGTTAGTTAAGACCAGCATCTTCATGAAGGCAGTGTTTTTGCTCTTATCATAACCAACTCAAGGAAGTGGATTCTCAAAAAGGAGCGCACGAGATGCTCTCAGTTGATCCTTTTAAAAAGCGTAACGCTCAGTCCTAAAGTCTCCAGGCACACCTTGCCTTGTTTTCTCGACTGAGCTGCTTACAAATAGGTCTGTGGCCTCCTGATTAAGCAGGTCTGTTGACACTGTCCACAGTCCATGCTAGATCACGCAGTCCACCATGGACAATCTCACGACATTTCCAAGTTTCTCATGGTGCTGCTGCATGCACAGACCACAGCTACCAACCAGAGCTTTTCTAGACTGAGGAACCACAAGTTGTGCGCCTAGTTTCATTGTGGCATTTGCTTTATCACAGTCGTCTGGAACTGAACCTGCAGCACCTCTGAGATTAAAACCAGCAGGACAAACTTCCCACTTCAGACACTGGTGCTCAGCTCAGGTGTGTGTTAATAAGATGGTGCAATGGAAAGAACACATTAAGGAAAAAGCATCTAAAGATGAAGACTGGTGGACACGTGACCTACTAAATGGCCTAGGCTGGCAGATGATGGGCCACTGACAAGCCAAGATGGGAGGCATTCTGGAGCTCTGCATAGCTGCTCCAGTGTAGGCAGCCATGGCTTGGATGACCATCTGTGCTGCGTCCATCCAACAAGGGTCTGCTTAGTCCTCGCCTGACAATTTGTTTAGAGCCCTGAGACACTCCTGCAGGAACACTGTCCGCTGGAGGCTGGCCACAGAAATGCTGGTTCACCCACAGGTTCCTCGCCTCTTCCCAGTGTGTGACATCTTTATTGCTTCACACTTTAGCTTTTTCCTGGGGTTCTAACCACGAACATGTCAAACACCACTCATCACACAGACACAAACTGGACTTTCAAGTACAGGTAGCTGAAAACAGGGTCCTGAGCACCATCATTCTGCTCAGGGAACAGACATCAAAGACATTCATGCTTCTGGCTGCACCTACCCAGGGGGTTGATGGTCCTCATCTGCTGGTGAGTTTGAGGCTGTGCTGGTTGCTGGCCAGGAACCTGAGGCTGCAGCTGTGTCTGGGTCTGGTTAATGTAGGGCAAGCCAAGCGCAGCATATGCTCGTTGCATGGAACTGGGGTCTATGGGATTGGGGTTACTTAAAGAAGTGGCATTCTGCTGGCCTGTACCCACAGAACCAATTGTATTCTGAATTCCACTAGCTGGAGATCCCAGGATAGCTACAACAAGCAAGCAGAGAGAAAAACAAAAAGGTTAAGTTAGCACCAAGTGTATTTACATGATGTGACAAAGACTGAGTAGCAAATACAAGTTTACCAAGATACTTTTGACAGAAAGCTCCAACAGAGCTGTTGAGTGCTGGGAGGAAGATGATTTCCTGCCCCCTATCACTGCCGGATAGAGGTAAGGAGAACTCAAGTTCCTGCGCTGAACTTAGGAGACACAAAATCACACCCATAAAACCAATGCCCTGGCTCGAGTTGGTCCTGATTCATGGGGACTCCCTACTGGGTCTCTGAGGCTGTAAATGGTCACAGGAAGAAAGGGCCACGCTTTCCTCCTGTGGAGCAGCTGGTGGATTGGAACCTCTGATATTTCAGTTAGCAGCCTCACAGACTCCCTTCTTAATAAAAGTTAACACATATTAAGAATTGCATCCTTGTGAGGAAGAAAGTACTAGGGCAGATGCACGACAATGTACAGTTTAGATTTTTACAATTAGGGGCCAAACCCCACCCTGTGGGCTTGTGTCTACTCACCTGCTCAGTCACAGACAGAAAACAGAAGGATAGAGGAGAAACCCATGTTTGTCTCTTTTGCTACATGTTAAGTCTAGGAAATGAGCTTCCAAACACCCAGTCAGCATTTCCTTGGCACCTCTGCAGACAATGATGCATCAGCAGCAATGCTGTCCACGGGCTTTTCACAGAAGGAGACCATGCTGTGCTTTGTGGCTCTGGGAAACTGTGGAGGACTGGTTGACCTCAAGTGCATGAATGAACAAGCCTTGGTGGAGCTAAGTGTATTTCCATTTATCTGGGTGCAACCTTAGCACCACTGAGATTGAGGAGCCAGCTCTGCCATATGTGGGCAGCCTTAGCCACTGTCCAGGTCTTCTGGTGGACCAGGGGAGAAAGTCTGCAGGCTGTCCCAAGAGATGGGGAAAATTTTCTACTCCCAAGGGCTCATGGTAACTGACTGATGACCCCAATGAGTGTACTTAGCTTTGGGAGCATACAATTTCTTCTTAAGAAACTCTGGTGGCACAGTGCATTCCATGTCAGGTTACTAACCAGAAGTTCTCAGTTCATCTCCTACTTTGCTGGGTAAGATGAGGCAGTCTGTTCACATACAGATTTATAGCCTTAGAAACTTGATGGAGAATTGCCAAGAGCTGGCCCAATGATGTCAGTTTTGGTTTACTTACTATCCCCTCAAGATTCCTTTCTTTCCAGCCTCCTCGAACTTGATGGTCATGTTACAAACAAGTTTATAAAACTGATAATGGATATGTGATCTTAGATAAAATAAAGCACCGTCACAAAGCCCTTTCAAATTCATACCACTACATGTAACAGTAAAATTCTCACATTCAACCATCAGTGCAGCTATAACGTAAGCAACACAAACACTAATCAGAGCGACTTAATTAAAATAAAACGTGTTTAAAAGAAAAAAAAAATCTTAGTAATTATACATTCCATACTATTAACTTTTCTAATAAGGATATTCTGATCTCAAACTCATTAATACTCATGAGATCCAATTACTCCCTAAGCACCTATTATAAATGAAACATAATTCCCAAGGTACAGTTCATGACAAGTATGCAGTTGAAGTAAGTTATGCCCAGTATCTTAGAAAGCAATTTTTTCTCCTAAAGAGTTACAAGAGGTATCTGTCACACTCCAGAAGCTGAAAGGCTGTTTTCCTATGAGAACTGTGGGATAACTTGTTCTGTGTGCTCCTGTGGACGGCAAGAGGACAGGCCAGAAGCACCTGTGATTGAAATACTGAGGAGAGCTGAAGGGAGAGAAAAGTAGCCTCCTGGTTTGGCAGTAGATGTAACTGTTGTTGTTATGTGCCGCCAAGTCATTTGCGACTCATAGCAACCCTATGTACAACAGCCCTAAACCCTGCTCTATCCTGTGCCAGTCGCATTGCCTCTGACACACCCA